CCACCGGGTCCGGGACGTGAACTGCGGTCGACTACGTGGGAGTTCAGCAACATAGCCATTACGCTAACTGCTGGTTCCCAAAGTTAAATAATTCTTAAAAAAAAAAAAAAAATACTAAGGGTCTGGCAGGTGGCATGACAGTTAAGGGTACTGTACTACCACATGGCTTACTGTGGTTTAAGTCCTGGACCTGGCGGCTTGCTTTATCACTTTCCCTTTCTTTCTCTCTCTTGCTCTCACTCTGTCCCTTTCTGGTTAAATTTAAATAAATAAATAGTTAAATAAAATAATTCTTTTTTTAATTTAAGGATTATTTTATTTAGCTTTATTTTTTATTATTATTAAATTTGACCAGAGAGAGAGAGAGAGAGGGAAAGCGAGAAAGCAAACCACCACTTCCAGGAGTCGAACTGCAGTTGGACATGTGGAAGCCCATCGCCTTTAACCACCACACCACCTGCCAGCTCCAATAAAATAATTCTTAAAAAAAAAACAAAACAAAACAACAACAGAAAAAATATTAGTAGCTTTTGATAATTAAGCTTTGTTGTTTTTTATTAAAGGTTTCTTGCCATGGGGTGTGTGCACTTGCCAGAGTGAGACAGTGAGAGGGAAAGTGAGAAATCACCCTCCAAGGGGGATGGCCACACTGCATTCCCTTCCCTGCATTCTCCTCCTGGAATTTTTGGGCACAGACACATAACGTGCCTGGCAGGATTTTCAAGCTGCCAGGTCTGGAACCCCAGTCAGCCATGTGATAATCCAGTGCCTTAACCACCATGCCATCTGCTGGCCCTGATCATTAAACCTCTTAATAGGACATTTTAAATGAGATGATGAATATAAGCATTCAATATTTGTTGAGTACTTACTAAATTTCCAGCTACCATGTTATTAATTATTACATTACATTTCTGAAGGAGCAGAAGAATTGACAAGTCTATCTTTAGTTTCCTGATTAGACATATAAAACAAGTCTATTTAAGCACTTAAAATTCTTTTAATGAGTTATTACTTATTTAATTATTATCACTCTGTTTTGCAAATTTTGTTGAAGGGTATATGCACTCACCAGAAAGAGACAGAGCGAAGGAAAGTGAGAAAGTAAGTCGCCATATTCGGGATTCTAACTGAGGTCTTCCATGTGGGAGTCCAGCAACTGGCCTGGCAAGTGGCATGGTGGTTAAGGTACTAGACTCCCACATGGCGGACCATGGTTCTAGTCCTGGATCTCCAGTCCTGGACCTGATGGTTTGCTTTCTGATATGGCCCCCCCACCTTGGTCAAGTTAAAAAATAATCATAATAAATAAAATTATATAGATAATTAAAAAAAAAACAGTTAAAATTTAAACAATAAAATGCACACCTTGCACATTAGAACTTGAATGGATTAATGTTTTATAGAAACAGACTTTCTATGTAAATTTTTTTGTGCTTTTAAAAAATAGGTGTTTTGATGTCATTTTAAAAAATAATGTGGATTATATATTCTTAGGTAAATGTCAGTCTTTAAGGCCTGAGGTAAATGAAGATGAATGCAATAAGGAACAAAGGCTTTCTTGTGTATGTGGCACAGATGACATGGAATTAGCGTCCAGTGAAAAAGCTGAGGAAAGAACTGACTCTGTCCTTCCTTCAAGGTATATTCTATGTGTTTATTGGCTTTATCTGCATCTGTTGATTGCTAAGAAAGGAGTGTTAAAGTCTCCATCTGTAATTTTGGATTCGTCTTTCAGTATTTATTGTTTTCGTTTCATGTATTTTGAAGTTCTCTAGTTAGGTGCATACATGTCTAGAATTTTTGTGTCTTCATTGTGAAGTCCTTTTATCGTTATGTATTATCCTTCTGGTATGTTCTTTTTCTGATGTTTATTTTGCCATTATAGTGTTTTTTTGGTAAATATTTCTATGAGTTTATTATTTTCTGTAAAGATTTTCTCTCACTTTTTAAAAAATAATTATTTAACTTTATTATTTATTTTTAATTTGACCAGAGAGAGAGAGAGCGAGAGAGTGAGAGAAGGAAAGCGAGAAAACAAGTCGCCAGGTCTGGGATTCATTTTTTTTTTTTAAAAAGAGAGAGAGATAGGAAGATATTTTGACAGTCTTTCCATGTTGCAGTTTTCCTATTGTAGCTTACTAACTAGTCAGGATCACTGGTGTGCACCTCTGGGCCTGGGCTGTCTACATTGGTCTGGGAACTGGGCATCGTCCCCCTTGGAGCCCCAGTCTGGTACAGCAGTGCTCTACCACTATGCCATCATGTCTAGGCCTTTTTACTTAGCTTTCTGTTTTAAAAATTATTTATTTAATTTTATTTATTCATTTATTTTAATTCCACTAGAGAGAGACAGAGAGAGAGACACAGAGAGAGAGAGAGAGAGAGAGAGAAAGTGAAAAAGGAAGCCACCGGGTCCAGCTCTTAAACCGTGATTGACCACGTGGGAGTATCCAGCACCTTAGCCACTACGCCACCTGCTGGCTCTTAGCTTTCTATTTTAATAGAATGTGTCCTGCTCTAGGTGTGCTTTAAATTTCACTTATTTATTTTTTATTGTGGTTAAAAAGTATAGATGGCTTGTCCTTTTTTTTTTTCCCTGCTTGAGGCTACGTATGCTTGCCAGAGAAATAGAGAGAAAGATGGGATATGGCCATGCCACAATCCTTTTTGCTCTCATTTCTTCATCTCTTCAGGATTTCAGGCATGTATGCACGTGTGCCTGGTGTGTTTTTCAAGCCACTGGACTTGTGTTTAAATTGTAGTCAGCCATGTGGGATCTGATTCTGTGCACAGTGCTGAACCACTACGCTATGGAGCTGGGCCAGAGATCTATCCTCTTACCACATTTTTTAAAAATTTTGCCAAAATGCCTACCAGAGAGAGAAAAGAGGTGAGAATGGGAGAGGAGTGAGAAAGCACCCCCCCACCCCCTTGGAAAATGGTCATACCATATTCCTTTCTCCTCCATCTTTGCACTTTTTGGGATTTTAGGCCTGGTGTGTTTTTCAGGCCACTGTATCCAGGATTTGAACCATTAGGTCAGCCATGGAAGATCCAGTCATCCTAACCACTACCCATAGCTTGGCCCTGTCTTAACAAATTTTAAAGTGTACAATACAGTATTGTTTACTGTTAGCACAGTATTATAAAACAGATTTAAAATCTTGACTGAAACTTTATATCCATTGAGTAGCAACTCTCCATGTCTTTTCCCTGCAACTCTGTTAAACCACCATTCTTCTTTCTATTTCTATGAGTTTGAATACTTTAGATACCTGCTATAAGTGGATTCATGCACTATTTGTCCTTAAGCGATTGGCTTACTTCACTTAGCCCAACATCTTCAAAGTTTATCAATGATTCATAGCATATGATTATTTTTTATGGCTAAATAATATTCTATTGCATGTATATACCTTTTTTTTTATTCTTTCACCAGTCAGTGGTCATTTAGGTGTATTTCTATCCCTTGGCTATTGTAAATACTACAGTGAACTTGGGAGTACAAATATTTCTTCAAAATTGTGATTTCAATTCTTTTGTATTGATTGTATTTTTAATTCGTTGAGAAGCCTCCACACTTTCCAATAGTGGGTGTACCTTTTTATATTCATATCAACAAGGTTCCAGTCCTTCTATATCCTTACCTATACATGTTATCTTTTTTTTGAAGTTTTTTTCTTCCTTTATTCTTTCACGAGATACACACACAAACACACAGATGGGGTACCTTCACCATCACAATCCATTTCTTAGCCTTCCATCTAACCAGGATTAGAGTTAAAAAGAAACAAAAACAAAGGTAAGTAGAAAATCTTATGGAAAATAATAAACCCATGCAAATACTAACCAAAAGAAGAAGAGAAGAAGCTGTAGTGGCAAAGTAAGTATCAGAAAGAAAGAGCAATACCAAAAGGTCAGTACATTGGCATGAAAAGAATTTCACCTCAAAGATTCTAGATATGCAGGTCAATCTAGGATTTAAACCCTGGTTCTTCGCATATGGCTCTAGTAATCCTAACATGTAGTCACTGATACCTCAGAGTTGTTTTAATTTGCATTTCCTTTATAATTAATGATATTGAGCATCTTTTCATATACATGTTATTTGTGTATATTAGCTGGAGAAATGTCTGACCAATTCCTTTGCCTTTTCTTTGTTTACTTTTTTCTCTTTATTGTTTTTTCCTCTCTCCTCCCCCTCTTTCTCTTTATTTGTTGAATGGTAGGAGCTACTATTATATTTTGGATGTTAATCCATTGTCAGATAAAATATGGCTTGTGAACGTTTCATCCCGTTGAATGGGTTGTCTTTTCACTCTGTTTACTGTTTCTTTTGCTGTGCAGAAGGTTTTTAGTTTGATATAGTCCCACTTGTTTATCTTTTCTTTTGTTCTGTGTGCTTTAAGTATCATATCCAAGAAATCATTGTCAAAATCAGTGTTATAAACTTTTGTTCTGTTTTCTTCTAGGGGTTTTAGTTTTAAGTGTTACATTTAAGTATTTTTAAAATTTTGTGGTGTCTTAGTACCCTTGTCAAAGATCATTTGACTGTATATATGTGGGTTTCTTTCTGAGCTCTCTATTCTGTCCTGTTGATCTGTGTGACTTGTTTATGCCTTTGCCATACTGATTTGGTTACTGTAGATTTGTAATATTTTTTTTTTGGAGAGGTTTTGGCTATAGGGCGAGTGCGCTCTCACCAGACAGACAGAGAGAGACATAGAGACAGAAAGCAAGAAATCATCCCCCAGGGGGGATGGCCACGCCGCAATCCCTTCTCCTCCATTCTCATCTCGGGATCTTGGGCACGCACGCACACGTGCCCAGCGTGAGTTTCCAGCCACCGGGTCCGGGACGTGAACCACGGTTGACTACATGGGAGTCCAGCGACATAGCCATTACGCTAACTGCTGGTCCCAAGATTTGTAATATGTTTTTTAAAAAGAATTATTATTAAAAATTTGCTAGCAGGCACATGCATTCACCAGAGAGAGACGGACAGAGAGAGAGAGAAAGTGAGAAGTAAGCCATTAGGCCTAGGATTCAAACTGTGGTTAGCCCTGTGGGAATCAAGCACCTTCAGCACCACCACACCACTTGCTGGCCCCTTGTAATATGTTTTGAAATCAGAAAGTGTGAGACCTTTAATTTTGTTTTTCCTCCAGATTTTGTTTTGTTTTAAACTTACCCTTTTTGGGGAAAATAGCTACTTGGGTTTGCTGTTTGAATTCATAATTTTAAAAAAATGTTGAGCTAATTAGTCAGTAAATGATATTGGCATAGAAAAAATATATTAGAATCCTATTTTACTTTATTCACTAACTTCTCGATGGATTAAAGACTACACGTATATTGGAGACCAGCAGTTGGTGTAATGGCTATGTCACTGGTCTCCAGTGTAGTCATGTGGTCGACTGTGGTTCAAGTCCCAGACCTGGTGCCTTAAACTCACGCCGGGTGCGTGTGCGTGCATGCCCAAGATCCCGAGAGGAGAATGGAGGAGAAGGGATTGCGGCGTGGCCATCCCCCCTGGGGGGTGATTTCTCGCTTTCTATCTTTCTGTCTCTGTCTGTCTGGCGAGCACACGTACCCTATAGCAAAAACCTCTCCAAAAAAAAAAGAAAAGAAAACTCATGCCGGGCACATGTGTGGGTGTGCCCAAGATCCCTGGAGGAGAACGGAGGAGAAGGGATTGCGGTGTGGCCATCCCCCCTGGGGGGTGATTTCTTGCTTTCTGTCTCTGTCTGGCGAGCACACGCGCCCTATAGAAAAAGCCTCTCAAAAAATTTTTTTTTAATTTGCCAAAGAACATGTGTATGTGGGCACAGAGGCAGGGAATAGAAAGATGGGGAACAGCAGTTGACATAATGGCTGTGTTCATGGACTCCCATGTAGTCAACCACAGTTCAATTCCCAGATCCAGTGGCTTAAACTCACACTGGGTGTGTATGTGTGCTCAGGATCCCGAAAGGAGAATGGAGAAGGGATTGTGGCATGACCATCCCCCTGGGGGGTGATTTCTCCCATTCTGTCTCTCTGTCTTTCTGGGGAGTGCATGCACCCTATAGCAAAAACCTTCTCAGACAAGGAAAAGCAAAAAGGAAAAAGAAAGATGGAGAAAATACCCCCAATAGGGCACGGTAGTTCCACAATTCTTTCTCCTTCATTTCTCTATCCTGTTGGGATTCTGGGTATGCACATACATGCCTGGTATGCTGTTTGAATGGCCAGGCCTAGGATTTGAACCTCATAGTGGGCCACATGGGATCTAGCTCCCTTAACCACTAGGCTTCAGGGTGACCCTCAAGCATTTAACACTTAGAAATCACAGACGTTAAGATTGATAGGGTCAGAGGGGGTGCAGAGATTAAGGTGGCAGATTCCTATATGACCGAGCAGTTTGAGTGCTGGACTGGTGGTTTTAAAAATATCATGGACGTGTCTATGTCCAAAATCCTGAGAGGAAAATGGAGGGATTGTGGTGTGGCCATACACCTTGGGGGATTATTTTTCACTTTCCCTCTCTCTCTGTCTCTCTAAAGCGAGTGCATGCACCCTCTAGCAAAACTTAAAAAAAAGATAAGATGACAAGTTTGCTGTAAAATAAAATACTTAACAAAGGCTCCGTAAAGAAAGTTAAAGGGAAACTACTGATAGGTTTTAAATGTTATCTGGTCAACAAAAATAAAGAAAATTCCTGTTGATAAGTTGGAAATAATTGGCAAAATTTTGAAAATATGGGGGCCGGCAGGTGGCATGGTGGTTAAAAGGCCTGGATTCTCATATGGCCAACTGTGGTTTGAGTCCTGGACTTGGAGGCTTTCTTTTTCTTTCTCACTCTGTTCCTCTGTGGTCAAATTAAAAATAAAGTTAAATAAAATAACTCTTAAAAATTTTTTTTTTAAATGACTAAATTTGGGGGCCAGCAGTTTGCGTAATGGCTATGTCACTGGATTCCCATGTAGTCAACCATGGTTCGAGTCCCGGACTCGGTGGCTTAAGCTCACGTCGGGTGTGTGTGTGCCCAAGATCCCGAGAGAATGGAGGAGAAGGGATTGCAGTGTGGCCATCCACCCAGGGGGGTGACTTCTTGCTTTTTGTCTCTCTCTTTCTGGTGAGCGCATGCGCCCTACAGCAAAAACCTCTCAAAAAAAAAAAAAAAAAGATTAAATTTGAATATGTATGGAGATGGTGCTAGTTAGTGCATAGCTGCTAGTTATAGTATTGTTAGTCTAAATATTTCATAATGCAGTGTAGTCATCATTTTGCATACTATGGTGTTAAATGCGACTTACCTTATTGGGACTGTGCACTTTACTTTGTATGGTTTTTGGTAAAGACAATACCATTCAGAGTATAGACTGCCTACTTTTTTTTTTTTAAAGAATTATATTTAACTTTATTTTAATTTGACCAGAGAGGGAGGGAGGGGGAGAGAGAGCGAGAAAGAGAGAGAAGGAAAGTGAGAAAGCAAGCTGTCAGGTCTAGGACTCACACTGCAGTCAACCATGTGGATGTCCAGCCCCCTTAACCACCATGCTACCTGCCAGCCCCCTTAAAATTCTAATGAAAGATAATTCCTAAATTTTATTTTGGTTTTACACATATGTTTGATTCGTGAACTCCATTTAGTTGGTGTTTTCTTTTGAGACTTCTTGAGCATTTTCCCAAGTCTATGAATTTGTGGTTGCTATTTTCTTGAAGATACAATTACTATAACTTGATGCAAAGGGATAATTAAAAAAATGATAATAGATTTGATTATTTCTTGATGTAAAATACCACCTTCTGAAATATTGCTTTTATATATATATATATCTATCTTTTATATATATGTATGTGTGTATATATATATATATATATATACACACACATATATATATATATATATTTATTTATTTTTATAGAGGTTTTCGCTATACGGCACGTGCACTTGCCAGACAGAGAGAGACATAGAGACAGAAAGCGAGAAATCACCCCCCAGGGGGAATGGTCACGCTGCAATCCCTTCTCCTCCATTCTCCTCTTGGGATCTTGGGCACGCACGCACATGCGCCCGGCGTGAGTTTTAAGCCACCAGGTCCAGGACGCGAGCCATGGTCGACTATGTGGGAGTCCAGCGACATAGTCATTACACTAACTGCTATTTCCCGCTTTTATATATTTTTAAAAATCTTTTGGGGCTGGCCTTGTGGTCCTGTAGTTGAGAGAACTGGATCTCACATGGCCTCCTGTGCATTCAAATCTCAGACCTGGTGGCTTGAAAACCACTCCAGACACATATGTGTGTGTGTCTAGAATCCAAACAGGAAGGAGAAATGGAGGGGGAGGGATTGCTGCATGACCATGCCCTATTGCAGTTTACTTTCTTCCTCTGCTCTCTGGTGAGCACAAGTGCCCTCTGGCTGATTTTTAAAAAATATTTTTAATAATTAATGTGAAATATATATTACTAGGAATTTTTTTCCTCATGTATTTTCATTTCCTTAGCAATCAACAAGTTGATTCATTAGTGGCAACTGAATCTTCAGAATCAAGCATTTCACAGTTGCCTTCATCAGATATTGGAATCAGAGCATCGTGTGAGGTGAATAATTCTGAAAGTGCAGAAGAAAGAAATGTCGACGCAAACAATAAATCACTGTAAGTATTTTACATGATAGAATTTATTTATTTACTTCTAAAATTTTGATACAATTTTTAAATGTTGATAATGTTATTTTTGTTTAGGGACTAGGACCATTAATATGTACAGCATTTAATACGTAATTATCCTGTAGTCTGTTAAGAGTATAACATCAGGGTTTCATTTAAAATTGATAACAGAAAGATATTCTTTCACATATGATGTATAGTAATGATAGGAGTTTTTGCAAGGGTATCATGATAAAATCCTTAAGTAATTTGGAATTTTAAATATTTAAGATTTTATTTCACTTGGTTTGAGTCATTTTCCACGTACGATGTCAGATTAGATTTTTATATTGGTTATATTAAATTAGTTATGTTTCCCAGTGTTCAGATATTGGTTAAATTTAGGTCCTCACTAGGAACAGGATAAAAGCAATATAGAAATCTCCCTTTGAAGAGATATCTCAAAATTTCAGACTTTCTTTTTTTCTTCCTTGTAACTTCTTGCTTCATGTGGGCTTTAAAGCTTTTAGTTTGAGTTCTTATTTTTCAGTAAAGCACAGTCACCCTGGAAATCAAACTTTATTTATTTATTTATTTCTTATTTTTTATTTTTCTTGAGAGGTTTTCGCTGTAGGGCGCGTGTGCTCGCCAGACAGAGACATAGAGACAGAAAGCGAGAAATCACCTCCCAGGGGGTTGGTCATGCCGCAATCCCTTCTCCTCTCGGGATCTTGGGCACGCACGCACACGTGCCCAGCGTGAGTTTTAAGCCACTGGGTCCGGGACACGAACTGCGGTCGACTACGTGGGAGTCCAGCGACATAGCCATTACGCTAACTGCTGGTTCCCAAATGAATAATTCTTAAAAAAGAAACATTTCTTTCAGAGAGAGACAGAGAGGGACTCGGGAAAAGAGAGACAGTACCCTCAACAGGGTTGTCTCATGCTGTGTTCTGCTCCTGTTCTTCCCAATCAGATAGGATTATTGGTCCATGTACTCCTAGAGTGTACAGTTCAACCCAGAAACTGAACCTTAATCTTCTGTGATTGTAAAGTGGGATGCTACCTCTGTGCCATCATGGCATGGCCTGGTTTTCATACTTTTATAATGGTACAGTAGGTCACATTTTCCAAATTTTTTGTCTTTTTTTGTTTTTTTTTGAGAGGTTTTTGTTATAGGGTGTGTGTGCTCTCCTGAGAGACAGAAAGTGAAAAATCACCTCCCGGGGGATGGCCACGCCATTCTCTTCCATTCTTCTCTCGGGATCTTGGGCATGCATGCACATGCGCCCAGCTTGAGTTTAAGCCACTGACTGGGTCCAGGACTTGAACCACGGTCGACTACATGAAAGTCCAGCAGCATAGCCATTACACCAACTGCTGGTCCTATGTCCTTTTGTGTTTTTATATAAAAATCTTCTTTATTCTTTTCATAACATAATATTTTGTGGTATCATAGTTTATGTTATCAGTGCCCTATTGATGGCTAGTTTTTATAAACAGTTCTTATAATCGTGACCTCTATCCTTCTGCCTATATGCAAGTATATTTGTAGGGTAAGTTCCTAAAAAGGGAATATTTGCTCAAAGAATTTGTGTGTATACATACAAATACATACCTTTATACATTTATGGTTTTGGTGGATACTACCAAAATTCTGTTTATAGGAGTTGTACTAGTTTAGATCCCCATCAACAATATAGAAGTATATTTATCTTCCTTACCAATAGATGGTGTGATCACACTTGTGAATTTTACCAACCTTGAAAGTAAGTGTAATATTTGCATTATCACACCCTGTTGGGGGGGCAGGGTTATGTAATTTTATTTTTTTATTTTATTTTTTTCCCCTTCAGTTTCTTATTTTATAAAATGTTTACCCTAAAGTTGAGAGAATGTTTAACATCTGTGTCTAATTCCCCTTTGATTCTCTAATTCTTCACATGTTATTTCATTTTTGCACTTTCTCAGTCTCATTTTAATTTGTACTTATTGGGAGTGAAGTGCAGTATCTGATCACATTTAAAACCAATTTTCATTTTTATTTTGTGTGTGTGTGAGAGAGTTGTTCATATCCTTTGCCCACTTTAAAAACTTTACTAATGTTCTTGTTTTATAGGACCTCAGTATATTTTAGAGAAGTTAGCTTTGTGATTTGAGTTTCTGGGTTTTTAGTTTGACTTCTGATAGCTTTTTGTGGTTTGGCTATGTAAAGGCTTTTATGTCAAATTTCAGTTTTATTCTTTTGTGGTTTTTATATTTTAGAAAAATTTCCCATCTGTAGGTTATGAAATAATCCATATTTTCTTTATGGTTTCTTTTAAATCTTTGATCCACTTGAAATATACTGTCAGTACACTGCAAGGAATGGAGCTGATTTTATTTTTTTTCTCAGTATTACCTGATTTTTCCAGTATCATTTATTTAATTTTCTTTAACATTTATTTTTAAAAACACATTTTATTTTATATTTGATTTTATCCTGTTTTGAGATGTTTCCTTTGTAATTATGCTAAAATTACATGTTCTAGAGTCATTGTCTAAATTTTCTGTTTTACTTGTTTATTCTTATATTAGTACCATGCTGTTTAAATTACTGATATGGAATAATATATTTTCATCATATGTAGAATAAGTCTCAATTCTTTTTTGCTACTCTTATGGTAAATAAACTTTTAAAGGAGTGCTTTCTGATGATGACTGGGTTATTTTAGCATTTTTTAGACTTTTATTTGAACATGACTACATATTGGATGCAATTTCAAGAATGTTAATTTTTTTAGGGAAACTGATCAAACAGAAAATATTAAGCCGATATCAAGAGGTCGACGCCAGAGACCTAAACCCAATTTAACAAGGGCAGTTGGAAAGAAATCAGTTCCTTCAGAAGGCAAAACAGATACTGAGAGCAACAGTTCACATTCAGAAACTTCAGTTGAAACGGTATGGAGTAAGAGAATGAAATTATTAAAATGTTCCTTAAGTAGTCGTGAATAAAAAATGTTAGCTTGTAATTGCAAAGTACTGTTACATTAAAACAGATATAAGGACCAGATGGTAGCATAGCCAGATCCAGATCCATGCCTCCCTTATATGCTTGGGTAGGTGCCTGTGATCTGGGCTCATTGAGGTTAAGGATGAATTGAAGCATGAGGACCCTGTTGGGAGTTGGGGGGAATGTCCAGTGCCTGTTTTTCTCCCTTTCTGTCCCTTTCTCTCTGTCTTTCATGGAAGAAATTAATAAACTTCAACAACAACAAAAAGAACCACACACACACACACACACACACACACACACACACACAGGCCAGTCAGGTGGTGTGGTGGTTAAGGTGGCTATATCTCACTTGGCTGACTGTACGGTTTGAGTTCCTGACCCAGAGGCTTGAAAATCATGCTGGGCACATGTGTATGCGTGCCTAAAATCCCAGGAGGAGAATGGAGGAGAAGGAATTGCAGCGTGGCCATCCCTTGGAGGATAATTTCTCACTTGTCTCGCTCTGGTGAACACATGTGCCCTATGGCTAAAACCTTTAAAAAATAAAAACAAAAACTGTAATTATACCCATAATCTTTTTATCCAAATCCAGACAGTCACACTTCTGTTTATCCTTTATAAACTTTCTCTCAACATATGTAAATATTTCTGTAGTTTTTAACAATGCAGTGTATAACATTTTAAGTGTTTTCCTCTGAACTATTCATTTACATTTTCTTGGATCTCACTGATCTTTTTAATAACAGCATCAGGTTAACATATTATTGATTTAGCTCACCATTCTTCTAATGGTAGACTTTTTTTTTTTTTTTTTTTTAAATAGATTTTTGCCAAAGAGCTCGTGCATTATCTGGAGAGAGACAAAAGGAGATTGGGAGAGAGAGAAAGTGAAAAATGATTCCCGAGGGAATGGCCACACACAATCCATTCTCTTGGAATTTGGGATGCATGGGCACATGTGCCTAGCGTGATTTTCAACACTAACTCCAGAGTTGACTATGTGGGATCCAGCCGCCTTAACCTCCATGCCATGTGCTGGCCTAATTTTGGGATTTTTAAGAGAGACAGACAGAGAATTCATTTCCTGAGGTGGTTATATTTTAAATATTTGTACAGCTCTTGTTACGCTTTATCAAACTGTAAGTCAAAAAGAATCTATTTACATTAGTTTAAGCATTAAATGAATGTTCTTGGGCCAGCTTGTGGCCTGGTGGTTAAGGTAGCTGGATCTCACATAGTTTACTGCATGGTTCAAGACCCAGAACTGGCAGCATGAAGAAAACACCAGGGACATGTGTATGCTTGCCCAAAGTCCTGAAAGGAGGGAGAGATGGAGAAGGGATTGTGGTGTGACCATGCCCCATAAAGGGTGCTTTCTTGCTTTCTCTCTCTTTCTCTTTCCAGTGAGCAAATGTGTCCTCTGGCAAATTTTTAAAAAAGTGAATGTTCTTGTTTTCTTTTATCTCTGCCAGAATTATGTTATAATTGCTTGATTTTTGCTAAAATATTTTAAAATTATTTTAAAGAATTATTTTATTTAATTATTTAATTTAATTTGACCAGAGAGAGATATAGTGAGAGAGAGAGAGGGAAAGTGAGAAAGCAAGCTGCCAAGTATAGGACTTGAACTGTGGTCAGCCATGTGGAAGTCCAGCACCCTTAACCACTCACCACCTGCTGGCCACAATTTTTACTAAAATACTTTTTTAAATATTGGCATGTATTTTTAAAATGTTTATTATTTATTTATTTATAAAGAATTATTTAGCTTTATTTATTTTAATTTGATCAGGTAGGGAGGACAGAGTATCGGGTGGGGGTAGAGTGAGAAAGCAAGCCACCAGGTCTGAGACTTCAACTGCAGTTGGCCATGTAGAGTCCAGTGCCCCTAACCACCTCGCCATCTGCTGGCCCTGGCATGCATTTTTTAAAAATACTTTTTCTAGTGTAGCTATGTAACAGTCTTTTTAAACTGAATCTTGATATCTATTGAATTGTAATAAATTTGGAATATACAGACTTAAGAAAAAATGAAAATATAATCATTAATAATTTTTTTGTTTCCTTTTAATTTGCTATCATGTGTATGTGTGTGTGTGGGGGGGCTCACCTAGGAGAGACAGAGAGAAAAAGAGATAATATGAGAAAGCACCCCTTGGGGGGATAGTCACACTGCAGTATATTCTCCTCTTCAGATTTTGGCCACACATGCACATGCACCCCTGTGTGTTTCTCAAGCTCTCAGGTCCAGGACTTGAACTGAACAGTTGACCATGTGCGATCCTGCCACCTTAACCACCATGTCATTGGCTGGCACCAAATCATTAATAATTTAATTATCCAGATGCAACTGATCTTTCCACATGTTTCATTGAATAGTGATATCAATTCAGTTTTGTAAACTTCTTTGGAATTTAACATTTTATAAATAGTTTTCCATGTTATAAACAATTTCTGAAAACATAGTTTTGGGCTCGGCATTGCAGTGCGGTAGTTAAGCATGTGCTTCGGAAGCTGGTTCTCACATGACCGACTGAACTTTGAGTCCTGGCCTCAACAGCTTGAAAAACTCAAGATGTATATGTACACATAGCCAAAATCCTGACAGGAGGGAGAAGTGAAAGAGGAATGATTGTAGCATAACCATGCCCATTGGGGATGCTCTTTCTCTCTGTCTCTCTCTGTCTCTCTCTGGTAAGTGTGCATGCCCTCTAGCAATAAATAAATAAAACTTCATTGTTTTATTTTCCATGCATTCATTACAAAGTTTGAAGTTTTTTATGGTAAGTAGATTAACTGTAAAAATTTGATTTTATAGACTCATGGGGAAAAAGATAAAGTGAATATATCTGAAAATATTGAAATGGTGAATACAGAGAGAGAGAACCCAGAAACTGAAACTGTATCTAGGTAAGTATATATATATCATTCTTATGACTCATTGGCAATAACTTATTTCCTGTTTCATAGGGTCTGAAATTTATTTTCAGGTAGTGTACTTTTTTTTTTTTAAGATTTTAAATTATTATTTATTTAATTTTTTTATTCATTCATTTATTTTAATTTGACAAGAGAGAGAGAGAGAAAGTGAGAAAGTGAGCCACCAGGTCCGGGACTCAAACCATGGTCGGCCACGTAGGAGTGTCCAGCACCTTATCCACCATGCCACCTGCTGGTCCCCTCAGGTAGTGTACTTTTAAGTTCATTTTCAGCGATAGGTTGGCACTGAAACATTTTGGTAATGCTTTCTGTGCTTAATATTGTATAAATTATGGTATGAATCCATTGTGTTAGCAATTACATTTCTCCATCCATCATATTTTATTTTTGAAAGTATATTTTTTCTTTCATGAGAAAGAAAGAAGAGACAAGTACTTTTGACTGGGTCTCACCACACTGATCCTTCCGTGTCCTCCCAGCCAGCCAGGATTGCAGGCCTACCCATTGTGTTCAGGTTGACTTAGGATCCAAACCTGGTCCTCTTATATGGTGCCAGTATTGCTCAGCAGCACCTTAGCACTTGAGTCACCACAGCTGAGCCTCTTTAAACTTATTAAGACTTTAACAAAGCCTTGTTAAATAAATGAATGGTTAAGATAAATGGGACCAACAGCTGGCATAGTAATTAAGGCGCTGGACTCCTACATGACCGACTATGGTTTGAGTGTCAGACCTGGTGGCTTAAAATGCAGGATGGGTGTGTGAGTGCATGCCCAAAATCCCAGGAGGAAAATAAGGGATTGTGGCACGGCTATCCTCTCTGGGGGATGCCTTCTTGCTTTCTGTCTCTCTAGCGAATGCAAAAAAAAGATTTTGCTATAGGGCACATGCAGTCGCTGGAGACACAGAGAGAGACAGAAAGCGAGAAATTACTCCCCAAGAGGGTTGGCCATACTGCAATCCCTTCTTCTTCATTCTCTTGGAATCTTGGGCAGGCATGCATATGTCCCCAGCATTAGGTTTAAGCCACTAGGTCTGGGAATCAAATGGTGGTGGAATTGGAATATGTAGAAGTCCAGTGATATAACCATTATCCCATCTGCTGGTCTCTTAGCAAAAATCTTCTTTTTTTTTTTTTTTTAAAAGA